GGTTCTATAGGCCAAGAGGCTGTGGAACTGCAATTCAGAAAATAAAACAAAGGTCCTGCATATGATATCCCTTAATAATATATGGTCACTATGACATCATACACACACACACAAAAAAAAAACAAAAAAACAAAACAAAACAAAAAAACAACAAAAAAAAACAAATTCCTTGTGGGAGAATGGATTGTTGGTTCGTCTCTCACTCTCCACACTCCTCCCCCAGAGATATTAGACTAGCAACTAAGCCCTACTTGGCCAAATTGACCAAAGCAAACACCAAACGATGACGAATGTTCATTTTTGAGAAAGCCGTGCATTACTTACCCAGGTTCATTTAACGCGCTGTCAYCAGTATGGGTATACAGAGTGATCCAATTCTTTCCATCCTTGCTGGCCTGGAACAACCAGTTTCGCAAGGCGGATCTAAAACAAAAGCAAAGTCAGATGACAAAGTTTAGGAGTGMCTCACATCATAGATTCAAATTGTAGAATCCCAGGGGATGGTTTGCTGGCTGCTTCTCACAGATTTGTGAGCTCAGATTATGGCGTAGAGTCATACGTAGAGTCGATTCGAAAGGGAGACGTGGAAGGGAGTATTTTTTTAATTCTTATATTCTTTTTTTGTTTTGTTTTGTTTTNTTTTTTTGTTTTTTGGGGGGGGGGTTTGTTTTGTTTTTCTTCGTTTTTTTGGGGGTGGGGTTGGGTTACGATTTGTTTCAATTGCATTGAGTCCAGTTGAATTTACAAAATAAAAATAGAATATTTTAAAAATGATTGTTCTGTACTTACCTGCCATAACCTCTTGCRTGGCGAAGAGTGTAGCAAGATGGACGAACCCAAAGACCAAGGTCTACTGAGAACCATGAGTTCCTATTGAATAATAAATAGTGTAACTGTTAGTATGGAAACTACAAGAGTGCTAGCATCATGCCTGCAGATAACATCAACTAAGTTGAATATACACAAAAAGAGAGAGAGAAAGTGACTGACAAGGACAGACAGTCAGATAAACAGACAGACAGAAAAACAGACAAACAGATSRRTAGACAGAYGAACAGATTGACAAACAGACAGACTACTAGACAGAAAAGCAGATACATGAACAAACAGACAGCCACACACACACACAAACAGATGGATAGRCAGATGAACAGATTGGCAGACAGACAGATATATAGACAAAGAGGGGCCAACACACACATACAGAGCCCAGTTAGGGTGAATAATGCTATTCAGTGGATAMATTTATTGGATAACARCATCGACTTGTCCACTGGATAAGGATTTATCCATYSGATAGYGCTATYCACCCKTCRTACAACTGGGCCCAGATGGATAGACAGATGAACAGACAGACAGACAAATAAACAGACAAATTAATAGATATGGCGGGAAAGACACACATACTTATCATCATTAGTGTGGCAGTTCAATGCCGCTGATTCTCTACTCAGGATATCTTCCATTTTCCCATAAGGTAAGGATTTGCCTTCAGACGAGCTAACCACCACCAGACCAACAGACGCAGGGTTTGTCCAGTCAGGAACTGTTTTCCCATTCGTTCCAATCCAATAGATTATCCCATTCTCATCGAAATCACCTGTCTGGGTCAAGGTTACTTTTTGACCACCCTTGATGCGTCGRATAAAGTTGAATGTGGAGCGGTCATAGTCATRCCATTGCTTGGCAACCTGGAAAAGATACATAATAATCAAAATATTGCAAATAAACATTGTATTGGAAGAAAAAGGAAGCGAAGAGTGAGCAAAATCTTGCAGATCTTGTAATACCACAAGAATTGTGCAATCTCACTTCTCAGYGTCTCTTTTGTAATTTATTATTTGCATTATGTGGAGAAATTTAAAAAAACTCAACATCATAAGTTCGCCTGCTTTGTGCTATACAAGTGTACAAATTGATGCAGGGTTATCACGACCCAGGCACTTCCAGACAAGGCACATTTTCTCATGTTTTGGTTTCCCTCCATCAAATTTTCAATGGTCCATTTTCTAATTGACAGAAGCTAAAAAGTGACCCAGATGTCTTGGAGTTGCCAAGGTTGAAGAAAAATGAAAAGTGATCCTATAAACCTACCATTTTGAGAAGATACCGTTCTAAAGCACCAACGGTTGTTAATGGTTCCATCTTTAACGTCCTTCCACTTCTGTCTATTAGGGAAGCTTCACCTGGTGCTCTTTCCAGATGGAATCTGAGGCGTTTGGTCAAAACCTGAAAAAGTAACCATGTTTTTTTCATATTGATGGTTTACTAGGCTAAATGCTATCATCACAAGGATGGTGATGGGGGTGGGGGTGCTAGTTACACCCTCTTGGAATAAAGAGTAAAAAAATGTGTAAGTATAAGAAGGAAGTCGATCTGCCCTTTTAGGTTACTTCTCCTCACTGAAATATTATTGTATCAGTTTTTATGTCATCTTGAGTTCACATGGTATGAAATGTTCAACGGACTGTGTAAAATACTAYTGTCTTCCTTGATTACAGACCCATTTACACAGGGTTMGGCTCATTTCAGGATCAATATATTATTCACAGATACCAATGGTAAATCAAAGGATGCACAATTYCAACAAAACACACCTTGAAATTCCAAAGACCTTCATGGGAACACGTGAATATTCTACATAAAATTGAGGCTAACCCTTAGCCACAGAGAACTTGAAACTGAAATATTTCGATGCTATTTTAGGCTGCTCCTAAATCCACCTAATATGACAAAACACAATGCTAAAGAATAATAAGAGGCAGACCTGTAATCCTGATCCAGGACAGTCATAGGTATAGACTGGTAGTTTCTCTGCTGATTCAAGTACTGCCACAAGCTTCTTTACTAGGATCGATGCAGGTGTTATGTCTGTGACGCTAAGATGAAAGGAATGTACAAATAAAGGTTARACACTGAAAACAACTGATTGGACAATATTGTGCCAATTATTTAATATATTTCACAATATTCAGTTGTGAGAATCAYATGATCCTTGTTAGCAGCCTTCAGTGAAATGAGTACTGCTGCCCATCATGTGCTACCAGCCAGACTGCTGGCTTTTTTTTTTCAATTGCTGGGTATCAATCAGCTGAATGAATCTAATGAACCATATATCACCAGCCAATGAGGGGTAAACACTGCTCTCCCTGCTAAATCATCTTTAAAAAATTATATTGAAAAGCTTGCCGCTCATCTCAGTGGTAAATTATTGTATATAGTAGAAAGTAGAAAATAGAAAGTAGAAAATAATTACAACTTTTGATAGCRCCCTATCCTATACCTTTCTTTACTAAGGTGTTCTTCTGTCTCACCAAATGCTTGTTTGAACACTTCTGCTCTTTCTCGAACCAGTTTTGCTTTGTGGCCTATTGTTTGATCAGCCTGCAGGGATATAACGTATTAAATCATTTGACATACAATTGYGAGTGATGGTAGATTTTCTCCATTTTAATTACTAAAAAGATTAGTAAAACTTAGAGAAAATTTAAGACCAGTAGATAATCATATTAAAAAGGCTGTACACTCCCTCCTCTTTTTTACTCTTCAGTCTCCCTTCTATATACAACATTTACAAGCAATTTAAAAGTTAAAGGCCTTATTTAACATCAGTGTTCCTTCAGCTAGTAGCTGGTCTTCCAGGTCAGCTGCCAGTGTGCACTTCACCCCCCTCTCTCTATCAATGCTTGTTTTAAGAGTTTTTTTCAAAGCTGAAGCTACACAGATTAAGGAGAAATCAAAACAGACATGGAGATCCTGAGGATTTATCCATCTACCTCTAGCTCTGAATACYGCCCACTAGCCAACTAAGCTACGCATGATCCTAATATAGATATACTAACCACATTCAAGCAGTTAAGCAATGCAGTAACAAGCCCAGTAGTTTGGAGTTCATAKGAAGACACAGTGTTGTCCTCCTTGAATAACTGCAACAACTCYTGTAACGAACTGCACATTAGGTCTTTCCATTTTGCTTCACCACTTTCATTCTGGATAAAAAATAATAAGCATTAATACACCATAGATAWTGCTAACCAGAAGATTGAGAATTTTCAGTTGGAA